TCCAATGGAGTGTTTCCTTCTCAGGTTTTATATTAACTCCCATACCCAAGTTTCTAAATGGTGGTAGTGGTATGCTGTCATTGTTAATGTCATTAAGAAGCTGGAGTACACACCAGAGTTTCTGTAGTATACCTAAGAGTTCATTGAATTGATTTTCTTTTGTTTAATTCAAGCAGTGGAGGATTTAAGATAGACAGACACATGAACATATTCAGAAAGAGAGGAGAGAGAATTCAAAAAACATTTTCACACATAACCTATATATTTAAAAAAATCACTGGACTTGTAATTTCCTATGATATTAGAATAAAATCATTGCAAGAATCTTTAAAACTTTGAAGGAAACAGGTCCAATATAAAAGTTATTATAAACCTCATTGCTTAGAAATTTTGTTTGGAATTTGCAATAACCACTTCAGAGACTGAACTCAAGCTGAGCTTTGTAATATTATTGTGGGAAAAGGAGAACAGACTTGTTAGAACTTGGAGGTCATGCAAGCAATGCAAGTGCTGTATTAGAAGAGACTGATGATGCTTAATTTGCTGCTTTAGCAGCTAATTCAAATCTTACCTCCTCATGAAAGCAGATTATTAGTATATGCATTTATTCTCACATTTCAGTTACTATGAATATTTGAATAGAATAAACCTAGATACCACTGAAACTCTTCTAGGGATTATACAAACCATTTGCCTATTTATTTCAATAATGCTTAAAAGATAGATTCTAATTTTTTTAAAAAAACGAACAAGAGAACGAAAGTGCTAGTACTGATAGAAATGGCCATTTATTGACATGCTTATTGTGATTAGGTCATTTTTGCTTTGTTCCACCCTCCAAGTCATGGAAGTTTGCAGCTTTGAAAGAGGAAACCTGTGTGAATGGTATCGGCCAATCCCAGTGAATTTACTTCGAGATTCAAGCACATTCAGGTGGGGACTTGGCAACGGGCTTAGCATTCATCACGGAGAAGAAACCCACAGGCCATGGGTGGACCATACCAAGTAAGTGAACGTGTCTTTGGCTGTGTCTCTTAGGGAATATTTATTACGTGGTTCGCAAATGCCTGTCCCACCACCTTATCCTAGGCTAGTGCTGTTGGAAAGATGAATGTTTAAGTTAAAGAATGAGAAACCTGAGTGTATTTTTTTTCATATAAAATTGAAAAAAAATAATTACAAAGGCAATGAATGTTGTCATGAATGTCACAGAAATAGAGAAAGGCATGAATAAGTATGCAAAAATAATTTTTAATGTCATCACTCCTTGGAAAGCACTGTTAATATGTTGTTTTCCAAATTATCTATTTGTTCCTCTCCTCAAATCCCTTCGCTCCTTTTCCATCTCCTCCTTCACCTGCTTGTCCCTTCCCTCTTCCTCAATCCCCCTATCTTCCCTCTCCCCTTCCCTTTTTCCTCTCTCTCTCCTCATTCTGATGTATATTTGTGATACACATATGATCACAGGTAAGTGTGCAGATTTGCTCTATAGATGAATGAAAATATTTTTTCCACTTTGCAATAAATGATACCATTAAATATTCATCTATAACATGATTTGCATTCCATCGTAAGGACATTCAGTCATTTACTAATCTGTTCCTGACTAGTGAGTGAGTTCCCGTTAATTTCATTTTATCCCAATATTATAAATTTGCTGCTAAAGCAAAGAAAAGCGTAGTGCCTCCTGCGTGAGAACCACGGCTGTAGGCACTGGAGATAAACCAGTGAATGAAACAGGTGATCCTTGCTCTATTAGGCAGACAGGCCATGAGCCAATAAATAGAAAGCGTTGCAGGTGGCGATAGGCGCTATTCAGAAGAAGGGAAACAATGAAGGGTGAGTGAGTGCCAGATGAATTCTTTCTAAATGGAGCTCCAAGGGAAAGGCCCCGAATGGGACCTTGCGGGAAGACCAGTGTGGCTGGGCGGGATAAGCAAGGGCAAACTGCACAACAAATGTAATTATTATTGTTTTTAATTGAATGGACTATTAAAATTTTTGCCCATTTTTAAATTTTTTCTATTTTTCTGAAATGTGTGACTCCAGTATAACTTTGTGTGTTTTACATATTTTATATATCACCTTTTTTCTATTATTTATTTTCTTCTTTATTTTGTGAATCATGTTGTACAAA